ATATGGTTCCCCCATCAGCGGTAGAAAGGACACTAAGATATGGTTGCAAGTTGAGAAAACCAAGCAAGCTAAGCAGGAGCGTACGTTCATGATGGGTTCCCACACATCTTCAGGAGCAGTACAAGCCTACGCATCAGTTGTTTCCCCTTTCTTTCACCGCGATCTGTATTGGCAGGAGGTGGACGTAGAAACAAGTATAACGAATGGACACAATAACAAAAAACGTAGTCGACAAAAGATCTGCCTTTCCCCCTGACTGAGCGGCTGAAAGGAGGCTTCCTAGCTCTTCCCCCAGCTTGTTGCGACACCCATAGCTCACCAAGCAAGAGGAACCTACGTACCCAAACGATCATGGCATGGGGGAGGGAAGCTGAAAGGGTGAGACGACGACTTTGACATGCATCGTCAATGGTTGCTTCGAAAGACGTGGGGAGCGGTGAGATTCCCTCTTTTCGGAGTGTAGCATGCGATCAAGGAGGCCTACGTAAACAGCAAATGACACAGGAACTACAAGAGGGCTCTCTTCTGCTCTCTACCGTGTAAGGAATCCCCCTGAGGTAGCATGCTCAAAGACCGCAGTGCGACAAACGGTAAAACATAAACAAAACTTCCTGAGTATCGGGGATCCCCCTATCTGAATCCGTCATTTCTGGTGAGCTCTCAGAAGTATTCGTGGATGTGCTCAGCAAGGGCTCGTCGCCGGCGGTGAGATGCGTCGGAGAGGTCGTCTTGTTCCCCCTCCGCGTCATGCTCCATCTGCGTTTGCTGCTCTGCACGGGCTATGTCCCCCAGGCCGTGGTGTCTGTCCTGTTCCCACCATGGCTGCGCTGAGCTTGCGGCGTCGTTCCCCCCGTTGCTGGCGGCGAGCAAGGCTGAGTTCTGGTGCAACATCTCCAGGAGTCTGACTTGAACATCTTGCCTCTCTGCATCCCCCCAGGAAGGTAGTTCTGCACGAAGTTGTTGGAGCGCAGTCTCGTAGGTCGCAAAGTTCGCCTGGTGGTCGGGCTCCATGGTTGTTCCCCCCTCTGTGGCGTCAAGGAGGTTCTGGAGCGAAAGGCACACGTCAAGGAGTTGGCGCCAGTCTTCCTGCTCCATGTTTGTACTTCCCCCTGCGATCTTGAGAAGTACTTCCCGGAGAAGGCGCATGAGGGATGGCATCCCCCTTTCAGCGAGCCAATCCCCCGCGAGGCGCTGCAACCATTGCACAAGGGAGTCTATGCATGGTGTGAACTCGTCATGACATATGTTTGCTTGGGCATGTTGTGAAAGCTGCATGCGGGCAAGGTCTGCCATTCTGCGGACTGCATATGTCGCTGTCATCTTCCCCGGGGGGGGCTTGCGTCTTTTGGGCAACCTTTCCGTCTCTTCCCCCTGTGCGTCCCCCCTGTCGGCAATGTCTGCGGAGACTGCTGCGATGTGTGCATCGGCCTCAGAGTAGAGCAGGACGTCCACGAGTGCACTGTCCGCGATGTCCTGTATGGGTTTTCCCCCTGGTAAGTGCTCGGACAGGCGTCGTATTGCTATGAGGTGCGTCTCCAGCTGTTGCCACACTGGCTTCCCCGTGGTGGGGAGGTAGGAGTGTGGCGGTGGGTAAGTTTGGTCATTCGCTGCAGTTGCTTGTCCTGGCAGTGGTAGCGTAGTGCTGTTGCTTGCTGTCAGCGTAAGTGGAGTATTGTGGGCGTCGGTTGCTAGTGGTTCGTGTGGTTGGTGGAAGGTGCTTGTGGCAGGCGCTTGTGGAATGGTAGTGGCTGTGTGTTGCGGGTCGCCTGTTGTTGTTGGAGGATGGGGTGCTGTGGATGCTGTGGTTGCTTCCCCGGGTCGCTTGGGTCCACTAGTCCGGGTCTGTGGGTGCGCTCGTTGGATATCTCTCTGCATGAGCTGGCTGGCATCATGGTCTGGTGTTGGTGGGGAAGGTGATGGGTGGGGACCGGGCTTGTTCTTGCCGCCAATGTTTCGCTTGTCCTTGGCGAGGACATAGAAGTGGGTGTCGTCCGTGGGAGTCGGGGTCGCTGTGGCAGGCTGCTGGCTGTGCGCGCTAGCGTCGGGTGGTTTTTGCTGCTGTCCTTTGCGGAGCTGCCTTCCGTCCAGGAGGGGGTGTGTGCTTTGTGGTTCGTGTGCTTGTTGTGGTTGGTAGTGTGGTTGGAGGTGCTCCCCCGCGGTTGTGCTTGGCAGAGCATCTGCCTTGCTCCGGACAGTGTCGTAAAAGGTTTGCTTGGCTGCTGCGGCTGCTTGTTGTGAAGTGCTTGTGTCGTGGGTGGGAGTGGAGTCTGGTGCTGCTGTCTGTGGAGGCGGGTCCGTGGAAGACCTGGCAGTGTGGTTGCGTTGGTGGCTGGCAGGCTGTGTGGGCATTGTCTGTGGTTGGGCCGGTGGTGCTGGCTTGGAGGCCGCGGCAAGAGTGGGCCTGGATGCGGCGCTCCCCCGACCTCTTTGTCGTCTAGCCACTTGCTGGCGTGCTTGCTGTATTTCGGGGGGGCTCGTGGTACTGTGTTGTTCAAGCTCCATGTACCAGTACCCTGACTTCCCCCTGCCAAAGGAAAGTTTGTCCCCCTCTGCTATCATGAAGCTGCCAGGTTCGTGGTGGTGCGCCGTTGGAGCTTCCACCACGAATCCGTACCATAAAGTGTTGCCCACCTGGGAAAAGCGTATGCGTGTGCCCGCGCTGAACGGGGGCGCTGTGTCAGAGGGGCCACGATCCCCCTGCATTGCCACATGTAGGCCGGTGGTTGGGTCGAGTTGGGGATCCTCGTCCCCCATGTCGGGGATGTAGTCAGGGTGATACTGAACTACAGTTTCCCAACATCCATGCGTCAGCTGGTACATCGTGTAGGCTGCATTGGGGGAAACTTGTATGTGCGGCGGGTATTGAAGTGCTTCATCGTGTTGTTCCGGGGTGCTGTGGTTTGCTGTGCCGGAAGCCAGCGGCATGGCGTCGGTGCCGGCGGGTGGTTGGGCGCGACTGCATGCTCCCGGGTCGTAGGTGGGTGCTTGGTGTGGCTGGTCGACTGGTGTGCGTGGTACGTCTTGCTCATTGGAGGCTCTGGCTTCCCAGTCGTCTCGGGCTTGGTTGGCGGCTTTCTCCCCCGTCGTGGCTGCATGTGCGTCGGTGTGGGGCTGTGTGTTGTTGTTCCATGCATGGTCTCCGTCCGATGTGATCGAACTTTCTGTCAGTGACGACTGGCTGCTGCTGTCGCTGTCGCTGTCGTTGTCTCCCCCGTCTTCTGGGATGGTTGGGTTGGCTTGCGCGAACTGGTATCCCCAGCCTGGCCCTTCTTGTGGCTGTGGGGGTGGTCTGCGAAGCTGGCGGTTGGTTCTATGCAGCTGCTTGAAGGTGTATTTGCCACGTTTATTGGCCACCCTTTGTGAGCCATGGCCTGCTGTGGCCTCTCGGGAGTGCCCGGAATCCCCCTGTGGTTGACCGTGGCGACTGCTTCCCCCTGGTTGAGGGCGTTGTGTGCGGATTCCACCCCACCCGGGAGTTTCCCAGGGTGGTCGACGGGCTGGCTGTGGACGCTGTGTTGGAGTGGTCTCGTCTGTCGTCGCAGGGTGCTGTGGTTGTTGTGGGGGTGGTGTCTGCTGCTGCAGTGCTTGAGCCTGTCTGTCGGGTCGGTGTTGATGCTCCGTGGCTGCAGGGGTGGATCCTGACCATTCCATCTCTGGCGGGATTTCCCCTTGGTATGTGCCTGTCTGGCCCTCATACCATTCTCTCTGGTTGCGGAGCTCCTCCTCCGTGAACAGGCCTTGCTCTTGCTGGCTGCTGGCCGCTGTCGTTCCCCCGCCGGTGTTGGCCTGTGCGTCGTGTGGGTTGGGTGTGTGCTGAAGCAGGTGTGCATCCCACGGGGGCAGGGATGGTGGGTCATCAATGTCTGTTGGGTTGACTGGTGCGAGAGGGGGCTGCGGTGCTTGGTGCTGGTCGGCTGGCTGTACGCAGGCGTCGTCTGGTCTCGCTCGTGCCTGTTCCTGAACGGGCTGTTGTGGCATGGCTGGCGTGGCATGTGTGTTGCATGTGGTGCCTGGCGCCGTGTGCTCCTCATGGCGCGGCGAGGAGTATGGGGTATTCCATGGGTCATCGTCTGGGTTGTATGGCTTGGCATATCCCATCCTGTAGAATGGTCCAGCTGGGAGTGTGTGTGGTTGTCCTGGAGCTGTGGGTTCCCCCCTTGCTGAGGTGGGGGAGGTGGGGATGTCCCAAGCTGACTGCGGAAGAGGCGTTGCCTGGGCTGCGGCTCCGTGGATGGTGGATGGTTGGTAGGCCGGCTGTGTGGGAGTCTGTGGCTGTGGTGGTGCTGTGCTGGGGCTGGCTTGTCGTGGCTGCTGCATCGATGGCGGCATCTGCTGGTTCTGTAGTTGGTACGTTGGAGGTGGAAAGTACACCTGCGTATGTCCTCCTTGCAGATATGCCGCCGTTGGCGTCATGGAGTATCCCCCCCACGTGGTGTATGGTACTCCCTGGGGGTTGACGTGGGTGGATTGCCAGGTGAGCTGCGTCGGCGGTGCAATGTTGGGGTCTTGCATCCAGTGCGGCATCCATGGAGCTGCCGGCATTCCCCCTTGGGGTGGCGCTTGCTGTTGCTGCATCGTCGCTGCTGGCGTGTGTGGTCGCTGCGGCGGCTGTGGTGGCTGAGGCGGGTTGCTGCTGTTGTTGTTGGCAGGGTGTGCTGTCCCGCCCTGTCCCCCTTGGGGTGGGGTGCCACCACCTTTCCCCGCCAGACTGGCAAAGACGAGGATGACAGCTCG